ATGATGTTTGAATTTTCCCAGGGATGCACGTCAACTGGACGCGATCCCAACGCGCCGAATGCAGCTCGCCCCTAATTGCATTGTTTCCGCTCATCTCCGACGAAATTATTTATGTGTACAACAAGCCCGTTTGGCTTTGAGAGTCTTTAAACTTTATATGAGTTTTTCCATGTGCTTGTTTGCTAAAAAAGAGCCCCGGCTCTGGCAGGTCCGGGTTATTTTTACCCCCCAATTAATGGTGTTTTCTCTCGCTCCCTCGCGTGTATTTTTGCTCTCTCCCCCTCTCGCCGGCGGTGCCAGCGGCGGGACGGGGAAAGGGGGGCTGGACAGGGGCCAGCTTTGGCCTCACATCATTTCTCCCCCCCCAGGTCTCTGAAAAACCAGATTCTGTTTGTCATTTGCTCTGTGTGTCGTGGCCGTGGGATCGCTGATGGATTTCCAGCTCCGCTCATGGAGCGGGGCACGAGGTTTTCATAAGCACATTAATCTTGAAAGAAAATCTGTCAGGGGCAAACAATACCCCTATGAATGATGTTGTAAAGACACATACTAACTCTAAACATCCATTACCCGGGAATATTAACTTATAGAGGAGCTCCATTTCCTCTTACTCCTTTTTAATAGGTACCTGATACCCAAAGTACTTCCACATTGGAAAATTTGCCCGGAGATGGGAAATTGCCCGAGATAAGCCCCTCAACAGGAGCTTTTCCACCAGAGCTGGGGCTGAAGAGAGGGAGATTGTGAAGGCTGGGGGTGTGAATGCTTCTCTCTGGGGTCTGTTCCCATTTTGGGGTCCTTCTGGCCCCCAACCCTCTCCCTGGCAGCGTGGGGCTGGCTGGGTACCTCAGATCTGCTCCTGAGGACGGAAAACAGCCTCAGCCCGAGTCTCCTGCCTGGGAGCTGTTTTTCATGCTCCCATGTCAGTGGGTTTGGGCACCCCCCCTGCCCCAACGCACACACACGCTCCTTTTTGGGGAGGGAGCAGCCTGTGTGGCAGGAATAAAACATCTGAGGTTGCTTTAAATGTCCCTTGGAGCCAGGCCAGCAGCACAGGCAAGGAAAAGCTGGTAGCTTGTTTTAATTTAATGGTGTTGAAGTGTTCTACTGCAATTAAGCATCTGAAAATTAAACAGAAACAGTCATTAAGTCTGGTGATACAAACCCACCAGACCAGAGAATATAAATTATTTCAAATGGTAAATGCCAGGGCCGTGTTTATGATAGGGATGTTTCCCCTTATTAGCCCTTATCTGTTGTTTTAAGTAAGAGGGACTTAATCCTGAGGAAATTAATCACTGCAGATGTTGGATCTTGTTGCAGGTCACTCCTTTAGCCGGCAGGAAGGTTTGGGAGAGGGAAAATGAATCCCTGGGAGAAGTGGCCAAGGTGATGTCCATCCCTTCAGAGGGTTTCCTGCTCCCGTGCTCTCCCAGTCCCTCCATCCCACCCCCAGTCATCCCAGGGAAACCCATCTGGTCCCAGCCTGAGCTGCAGGCCGGGGTTTGTGAGCTGTCAGTGCTATTCCCTGGGGATGGTGCTCCCTGTTCCTGCCTCCTGGCTGCCAGCAGCTGGTCCCTGAGGGGGAATTTGGGGCCATCAGGTTCCTGTAGGACCCACACTGGGTCACTCCCTTGGGGTCTTCCTCCACCCCCTGGGCCAGGCCAGGCCTTTGGAGGAAGGATTTGGGGGAGGAACTGGTGCTTTGATGGCAGCAAGGAGCCAAGTTGGGAAGGCAGAGGTGGAAGGGGGCACGAGGGCGCTGAAAATCCCCCACCTCGTGTGGTGGAAAAGACGACCAAGAGGGGATGGACGGGGCAGGGTCCCCAAAGCCACCTGAGCTGCTGGCTGGGCATACCTGGGGGGGGGTTTATCCAGGCAGTGCTGGGAAATCAGGGCTCTGCCTCCATCTGCAGCCAGATAACACCGACAGACAACCTGGATCCATAAAACTTCCAGCGTGGGCCGTTCCTGCAGTTTCCTTTTACAAGCCTGGCCTCGCTCCGCTGTGAACACCCGCCAAGCTGGGATCAGGTAAGCACAGAAACGCTTGTTTAAATTCCTCATCTTTCAGCAAAAGCAAGACTTAAGCCTGGCTTTAAAGTTAAGCATGTGTTTTAAGTGCATTCCTGAGAGGGGGCTCTCTGAGATCTGTTGACGCGAGCAGGAGGCTCCTCCGCCGGCTTCAGTGGGATTTTCCCTGCCCGAAATGGAGTCCAGATCTCCTGAAATAAATACCCCCGGCTCCCTAGATGGGGGAACCACATGGAGCCTCGTGAATGCTCGTTCCCAGAAAAAGGATCCAGCTTATTCATGTGCCTGCATGATGTGCATTAAATCCTCCTGACATCTCCCACAATTCCAGCAAACAAATGGGAACCAGAAAAGATCCTGTGCCCCGAGAGCGCTCGGCTGGCGGTGCCACTGAATGATTGGCAGGAGCATTGTTTGCGAGCAGCCTTTCCAAATTGAACTTCCATGTGCCCCTGGCCAGTACAAGATGTGAAATTTCGTTCCCATTTTATCCCAATTACTGGCCCGGCCATCCACGAGGGCTCCTGGCATGGCACGCTTCCGATAACACACAATAACTCAAACAAACCCCTTTTCCCTGCAGGGGCGGCGCTGGGTGGAGAAGGGGGAATTCCAGCAGGGAGAGCTGTGTTTGCAGCGCCCCCATCCCAGATGTTCCCATTCCAAGGGCTTGCTGCTCTTCCAGGTAAGCAGCAGAAGCACCTACGCTGTTTCATGCCTTATTGAAAGTCCTTTGGAGCTGATCTCATGGATGTGGGTTCCACAGGGAGCCCCCAGATCCATGCAGGCTCCCTGGGAGATGCCCGACTTCCCACACGATGGAATCTCCCACTCCATCTGCCCCCAGAGCTGCAGATCGACGCCATGAATGTATTTTCTCACAGGACCAAAGTGCTGGGCCTATTTTCTGGGAAATGTTCAAAAAGGAACAAGCTGGAGGGTATTTTTTTTTCCCTCTTTCAAAGCAAACTAACAGAGCACTTCCCACCAAACCTGGACCAGAAAGATCAAAACCCACTTTGGCTTTTCCCTGAAACGAAGCTTTTCCAGCCACTTGCTCTTATCTGTGAAAAAAACAGTCTGAAAACCAAGATCTTTTACATCTCAAAACATTTTTACTCAACTCCACACACCTGCAAAAAAAAAAAAGAAAAAAAAAAAGAAAAAAAGGACCCATTTTGCTCGAAGGACTTTTTTTGTCCTGGAGAAAGACTTTCTGGTGAAAACAACTTATAGGGACATAAATAACTATCTTTTGGTTTATTTTCATTGTCTCCTGCCAGTCCTGCAGATTCGAGGAGGCAGAGCAGAGAAGAGAAGGTATTTTTTGGCTCATCTCATCTTGAATTTTTCAGGGCCTTGTGCGAGGAGGAGCTGCCAGCACGTGCAGGCAGGAGTGGGAAGCCGAGGGAGCATCGCTGGAGCGGTGCCTGGAGAAGGGATTCAGGGCTGAAGGAGCCGGGCAGAGCGGACAAGGCAGCTCTTCACAGCTTTCCCTGCTGTAAATCCCATTTTATATCCCCCGTGTCCCACACGGGGAGAAGCAAACAGAGCTTTGCGACCATCACTCAGAGCCTTTATGGTGGTTACGACGTTCTCTGCCGCCCGCCTCGCCCCGGCCCTGCTGCCTCCACGCCTTTTCACGCTGGTACGAGTTTCTGCTGGGAAATGATCCCTGAAAAGAGTTTACCTGCCGCTAAATGGCTCCGAACCCCGTTGAAACGCTGCGGAGCCGCTCCGTGAAAAGCTCCCGGCTCGCTGGAACGACCCGCTGAGCGCAGCCCCGAGCCGGTGCCCTCGCCGGGGGCTCTGGAGCGTGGCACCGGCCGGGAAGGGCTGCCGAGGAGGAGACGTGATGCTCGGCACCGTAATTCCTAGGGCTGAATCCCGCACCGAGCATCCCGCAGCAGAACGTTTAACCCCTTGTGTCCCTCAGCGCCGTCAGCGCCCAGCCCGACGTCGAGCAAACCCGATGGGGAAGGTCTGTGCCGTGTGAGATGTGTCCTGCCTGCTTGGGGGGGACAAATGAAGGGGGGAGGCAGCGTTGCCTTCCCCCAAAACTGGTGTTGGCATCAGCTCCTGGCTCAGGTGAGACCACGGCAGCAGGTTGATGGAGCAGGACAGCAGGGCAGGGTGTTTCTCTGAGATAATGGGTTATTTATCCTGATGTACATCCCCTCCTTTCCCCCACAGTCCCTCTCCAGGACTCCCTTGCGATGAGAAGATCCCACAGAAATCCGACAGAGGACCATCCTCAGGAGCAGGGGGTGATGTGCTGGATGGATCCGTGCCACAGAGCCCGGCTGGCTTAAGTGTGAGCAAATGTACCCAAATCTCACCCGAAATATTTTCCGGGAGGAGGAGGGGAGTCTCCCTGCTCTTCCCCGGGGCCACCTGCGTGCGGCCGCTCTCCGGACACCCCGTGCCAAGCCCAACAAGCCTCCCGGTGCTATTCCAGCCCGCCTGATGTGTTTTTCCACCAGCGCAACCCGGCATCCCGTCCTTTGCCAAGCCTGCGGCCTTCCCGTTCGGCTGCGGCCGGGAGAAACCCATTTCAATAAGAAAACAAAGGGAATAGGTTTAGCAGCCCTGCGGCCCCGCTGCCGGGCGAGCACGTGCGGCGTTTGTTTGCAAAGCTGGGCAGAGGTTAATAAGCTGATCCCGCAAAGATTTACACCTAGGCCGGGGTTTCCATGTGGGCTTAGCGTTAAGCAAGACCTTAATCTAAAGGAAAATATTTGGAGGGAGTTTTGTTTCTCTTTCAGAGCTCTGTAGGACCTGTGAAATGTTCACCGAAGAGAGAGGTCGCTGTCTGTCAGGTTGGACTCGACGGCCTTGGGGGTCTTTTCCCACCTAAATGATCCCACGATCTGTGACCCCGGTGGTATCGAGGGCAGCCGGCCGGGGAGGAGACACGGACTCCACCTGAGAAGGTGCTGGTTGTCCCTCACAGCACCACCGGAGTCATGAGGGCTGCGGGTTCTCAGCACCGCCGGAGCCGGGGCTGGATGAGTGTTTGCAGGAGAGAGGTGGCCATTCCCGCAGGGAATGCTGTGCAGGACACCCCTGCCGTGTCGGACAGGCGGGAGGGAGAGGAAGGACCCCAAGGGCAGAGGCTGAGCCGTGTCTTTTTGCCACGTTGGGTGCGGGATCGCGGCTTCCGCGGCGGTTTGACCCCAAGCCCTGCCAAATGCAGAGGCTGCTCCTGCCGGACGGTGCCTCGCACGCGGCTCGCAGATGTCGGTGAGCGGGATCGAGACTTTGCAAGGAACAACTCTCAGCTGTCCCCCCCTCCCTCGAGCCCCCGGGGCACGCAGTCCCTGCCTCCAGCCCTCTGCGCGCCCTTAAAGCTGACATTGCTTCCTATTCCTCCCAAAAGACTCGGTAGTTTTAAGATTTCAGTACCTGGAGAGGAAAGGGGATGGTCTGTGACCGGGCACCTCCAGAGCTGGAGGGAGGCAGGCGGGTCCGGGCTGAGCTGAACACCCTCCCACTCCTTGCGCGCTGCTCGGGGCACGAAAGGAGATTTCAAATCCACGCAGAGAGACTTTCGAGTGATCTGAAATGGTTCCGAGGCAGAAAACCGGGACAAAAAGAAGGGCGGGATAGATCCAAGCAATTTATTTCATTTTCAACGCTCTGAGTTGCCCCCAGATCTGCGATGTTTCACGCGAGGATTTTTTTAGGTTAATGATCCAGGATCCCACTCTCGTTTTCCCGTTATGAGTCTGTGATCAAAAAACCGTAGTGTTTAGGGGGGAAAAAAAACCCCAAACCGAAAAAATCTGGGCGAGTTTGGTGTGTTTTTTTCCCCCGTGTGGATTTGAGGAGCCTTCTGGCAGGGGTGTATTTTACAGGGCAAAATTGCTTTTGACAAACAAAACTGAGTTAGTATTAATTACCTCGACCTGTGGCCTTTACCAGCCTGAAAGAGATAATTACCCAAAACGTCTCAGAAGGAGCTTCGGAGAAGGATTTTATTTTGTTTAAGCTCTCAAACCCTCTTCCTCAGCGAACAGAAAGCCTTTTTTGGGGGGCACGGCAGCAGGGTCATCCAACTCCCCGCATTTAGCCCGTGCCAGAAGGCTGGGGGAAAAAAATATTGTCGGAATTAATTTCGTGTTCCCTCTGACACACAAAGCGCAGGCTCAGCCGCTGAGATAATATTGCACTTGCTGGACGGTTTTCGGTGTGTCTGATCCCACAGCGACAGGATTTTCCAATTTGGATCGATGCTGTCGGAAAACAAGCTCCATAAACTCCTCTAAGAGCCGCAGCATTCCTGAATCGGTAATGAATTACAGTCAATAATATAATATCATAGTCTAGTATGGTAGGATTAGTTAATAATGCGACAGAATCATATAATAATATAACAATATAATATATCATGGCGTTACTATATAACAGTATTATCTATTAAAAGGTAACAGTATTATAATATGATACCATAAATAATGGAGAATAAATGCTGGTGAAACACACAGGAACTATAACCTTTAACTATACTAATCACCAGCTGCTGCAGTAGAGGAATATCCTCGATATTTCTATCCAATATCCTTGATATTTCTATCAAATAGCCCTGATATTTCTCTTTTTTATATTAAAAAAGGTTTTGGAGCTTCCCGTTCCGCTGCGGAGCCGGATTTTTATTCAGCAAAACGAACGGTGCAGAATCGCACCTCTGTCACACGAGGCACAAAAACGAGCACAAACGCCCGGCGGCTTTGGCAAAAAAACTGGTAAAATTAATGAATTTTAAATGTATTTTCAGGCCGGACCGTGCTCCCGGCGCTCTCGCTGGAGAGGATCGTGAGAGGAGCGGGGAAGGAGGAGGTGGAGAAGGTAGAGAGGAGCCGGAGCGAACGGACACCAGCTCGGGGAAGGCCGGTGGGGGCTCGGCCGGAGGGAGCAGGTTTGGGGGGCCCGGGCAGCCCCTGGCGCTGCCCCTGGAGCTCCGCAGGGCGCTGAGCACCCCGGGGAGCGTCTGCAGCGCGTTATTAATAGGTATCCCCCCCAGTCCGCCTCTCACCTGAGCCGGCCGCCCCCCGCCCGCTCTGCTCCCCCTTTCCCTTTTTCTTTTCCTCTCTTTCTTTTTCCTTTCCTTTTAATTTCTTCCGTTTTTTTCTTTATTTTTGTCCTTGTTCTTTTTCCTTCTCTTAATTTTTAATTTTCTTAGTTATTTCATTTTTTCTTCTATTTTCCTTTTCTTTTGCCTTTTCCCTCTTTATTTTCCTCAATCTTCTACCTCTTTTTCCTTCTTTTTCTCCCCCCTTCTTCGTTTTCTTTTTCTTCTCGTTTTCCTCCTCCTTCTACTTTTCTTCCTTCGTTTTCTTTTCCTCATTCTTTTCCTTTTTTTGTTTCCTTCCCGTTTTCCTCTCCCGCCTTTCCATCCCCGCTATGTCCAGGGACACATTCCCGCAGGGGCCGGATCTCGACCATCCCAGCCCCTCGTCCTGCCCGGCAGCCCCCGGCAGAGCCGCGGGGGGATGCGGGGAGCAGGTGGAGGGGCCGCCCCGGGGGGAATCGCTTCCCGGGGGGATATTTTCCTTGGAAAAGCCTCCCCCGGCGCCTCATCCCCAGGGAGCAGGGGTGCGGGGCTGGCTGCGGCCGCGGGGGTGCGCGGGGTCCCTCCGCCCCGTCGGAGATGGTGCAGCGCCCGGGTTCCTCCGAGAGCAATTCCCGGGGGAAAAGGCTCCTCCGAGGGTGGGAAGGGAGCCCCGCACTCCCGGAAAAAACCGTCCCGTGGGATCACCAGGGCGAGGAGAACCACACCTGCCTTCCCCGGCCGCCGTTCGATCGCCGGCTCCCCGCGGGCTGCGGCGGCCGCTCCGCCGGGCTGAGAACGGCGAACTCATCGCACGGGCCCCCCCCCGGGGGCTGCAGACGGGTGAGTACCGGGAGCGTTGAGGCCATCACGGGACACCCACCCCCCTGCGACGCTCAGCTCCCGTTTAATCGATCCGCTCCCTTTTCCCAGCGCTTTTTCCAGCGCTCGGGCGGCACCGTCTGCCGCGACCCCCGCGTGGGTTCAACCCCCCGCATGGGGTGGGTGGGGAGCAGAGGAGGGGGCGCCCGAGCGGGTACCCCCGGGAGGCTTCCCCCCGTGCCCGTCCGCGAGTGGATGCCGTTTGTGGGGATGTCGGCACTGCCGGGGGCGAGCCCGGGCCCGGGGTGGTGGGCGCTGCCCCCCCGTCGGCCCCCTTTAAACCCCACCGCGGAGCGGCCTCTCCACGCCGCTGCCCCCGCCGGGCACGCCCCTCGCCCCCCACCCTTCCAGTCGTTTGCGGGGAAACACTCACGGTCTTCCCACCGGCCTCTCCTTGGGGAGGGGACAGAAATCCGCAGGAATGTCCCGAGCGCTCGCCCCATCCCCGAGGCTGCTCCCGGGCGTTACTGGGTTTTTTTTTTTGGGGGGGGGAGGGGAAAGGCGGATTTCACCGCTGGGTGGGCGGCAGCGTGTCCGCAGGGGAGCCCCCCCCGGGCAGGGCTCCGTGGGTGCCCTCGCCCCCCAAAGCACGACCCTGCCTTGGCAGAGCCCCCCGCGCTGCCCCCGCCCGGGGGTCCCGTCGGGGTTGGAGGCGGGGCAGGTGCGTGTCCGCGTCCCGCGTGGGAACAGCGCGGGGAGGGACCCGCGGGGACCCTCGTGCCTTAAGGGGGGGGCGTTGGGACCCCCGCGGCGAACCCCGCTCCGCCTTCCCGCGGCTCGGGGGGTGTGCGGGGCGACGCGCGGGGGGGGTCCCACGGAGGTGGCGGGGCTCGGGCCCCGAGGGGGCGGGCAGAGGGTACCGGCCCCCCCGTCCCTCCTCGCCGCGGCCATTTAGGAGCGGGCGGGAGCCAATGGGCGGCGGCGCCGCCGCCGTGACGGCCGGGATTGACGTGATTCCCACGTCAAATTGATCCCGAGGAGCGGCGGGGGCTCCCCGCGAGCGGGGAACCGGCCCGGCGCCGCCAGGACCCCCCGGCCGCCGGCTCCCCGCCGCCCCCGCCGCCCCCCGGGCTCTCTATGCTGGGCCGGGCGCTGCCCCCTCCCCGGGCGGAGCGGCGCGACCCCCGCGCCGGGCGATGGGTGAGTGCGGGCGGCTCCGAGAGGGCTCCGGGACGGCTCCGCCGGGCTCTCGGCAGAGCCGGGGGAGGGCACCGGGCAGGGGGGAGGCGGCGGGAGGTGGTCCGGCCCGGAGGGTCTCGGCCCGCAGCGCCGGGGCCGGCACGACGTGCCCGGCCGGGAGGGCTCCGGGTCCCCCGTTCTCCCCGCTCCTCCCTTCGCTTTCGCTCTGCTCTCTGCTTGCGGTTCTTTCTCCCGTTCTCGCTTTTTCGCCTTTTCTCTGTCTTTTTAGTTTTGTTCCGCTCTCCTTTTTTCTGTCCTTTTTTTCCTCTTCTCGTTTCTGTTTTCTCTTTTTCTCTCACGTTTCCCCGTGTCTTTTCCCCCCTTATTTTTTACTGTCTCTCTGACCTTATTTTTTCTGTCTCTATTTCTCCTTTTTCTCTCTGTTTTCCTCTTTTTTTCTCCTGCCCCTTCTCCTTTCCTCTGCTTTTTTTCTCCTTCTCTCTTTCCCTCTCGTTCTCATTTTCCTTTCCCTTTTCCCCCCGTTCCCTTTCTTCCCTTCCCTTTCTCCCCCCTTTCCTTTTCCCTTCTCCTCCCTTCCCTTTCTTTCCTTCCCTTTTTTTCCCCCCTTTCCCTTTTCCTTTTTCTCCCCGTTTTCCGTTTTCCCCCTTCTCTCTCTCCCTCCCGCGGCAGTCCCGTCCCGCTCCCGCTCGCTGTCCGGGCATCCCGCGGGGACCACAACGGCGCGCCCCCGTCCCATGCCATCCATGCCATGCCATGCCCTGCCGTGCCGTGCCGTGCCGTGCCACGCCACCCCTGCCCTTCCCGCAGAGCACACGTACGGGGAGGTGAACCAGCTGGGCGGCGTGTTCGTGAACGGGCGGCCGCTGCCCAACGCCATCCGGCTGCGCATCGTGGAGCTGGCGCAGCTCGGGATCCGGCCCTGCGACATCAGCCGCCAGCTCCGCGTGTCCCACGGCTGCGTCAGCAAGATCCTGGCCCGGTACCACGAGACGGGCTCCATCCTGCCCGGGGCCATCGGGGGCAGCAAGCCGCGGGTCACCACCCCCGCCGTGGTCAAGCACATCCGCGACTACAAGCAGGGCGACCCGGGCATCTTCGCCTGGGAGATCCGCGACCGGCTGCTCGCCGACGGCGTGTGCGACAAGTACAACGTGCCCTCGGTCAGCTCCATCAGCCGCATCCTGCGCAACAAGATCGGCGGGCTCGCCCCGCCCGGCCCCCCGCCCGCGCTGCCCTGCGGCCACATCTACCAGTACCCGTACCCCGGCCCCGCCGCCCCGCCGCCCGCCAAGGCCGCCGGGCACCCGGCCGCGCCCCTCGGGGCACCCCCCGTCGGGCTGCCCCGCTCCTGGCCCTCGGCGCACTCCGTCACCAACATCCTGGGCATCCGCACCTTCGTGGAGCAGGCGGGTGGGTACCACCGGCGCCGGGCTCGCCCCCGCCCCGCCCGGCCCGCGGCAATTTCGCTTCCCCCCTCCCGCCCCCGTTTTTTTT